TCTGCACCCCCAGACACATTTCTTTCCCTCCTCCAATCCTGAAAAGGCTCCCTCCACACACTAAACTCTGATCAGTTACCAAACACCCAAAGTTCATGAAGGTTCAGCTCTGAACTACTTTTCTTACATTGCCTGTGACACTACATTTATGGTATATGCTGAAACACCACCAATTCTCCAATACCAACTGTGTGTTCCACAATTTTTTCTGAGCCCATACATCACCACAGCCCTCATGAGCTCAGAGTCTAGTACTACATTACCCAAGGGCAGATGCCAGTCCAAAGGATGTGTCTGTTATGTGATCACTAGTCTACTTCCTGAAGTTATCCAGGGTTAGTATCCCAGCAACTTCATTAGTATAAATTCACTAACAAAAAGGGTTTATGCTAAATAACGAATGATACACCTACTATTTAGGAAATTCCAGAAGCTTCAGGATCTCCCTGTCAGAATTGTACTGCAGAGCTGAGGATGTGGCACAATTGGTAAGGTGCTTTCCTAGCATGAAAAAGTCCTGGGTTCCATCCCCAGCATAGCATAAAACCTGGCTTGTTGGCCCACTCCTGTAATCCCAGCATTAGGGAGGTGGAGGCACGAAGACCAGAAGTTCCAGGCTAGCATGGGATACATTCTTTCATTGTTTTTTAATTATCTCAAAAAAAAAAAAAAAAAGAGGCACTCAGGAGGCAGAGGCAGGTGGATGTGAGATCAAGGACAGCTTGGCCTACTCACTCTGAAGGACAGGCTAGCCTCTGCCTCAGGAGCGCTTTTCTGGTCAGGTCTATTTAGTGTTCTATATGCTTCTTGTATTTGTATGGGCATGTCTTTCTTTAATTTTGGGAAAATTTCTTCTAACAGTAATACAAAACCTCCTGACTAAAAAGTCTGTAGCTTTCTATATACCAATAACAAGCAATCAGAGAAAGTACATGGAAACACTCCCTTTCACAATAGCTGCAAAAAAAAAATAAGTATCTCGGAATAAACTTGACCAAAAACAAAGACCCCTACAATGAAATGTTTAAATCTTTAAAGAAAGAGATTGAGGAAGACATCAGAAGATGGAAGGACCTCCCATG